CTTTTCTACAATTCCCTCTATTAACAGACATGAAGGACTATTCAACGGGTCTTGAAGATCTCTTGGCAAGAATTGTGCAATAAAATAGCAGCAACTGTGATTTCAGGAGATAAGTTATGATAATATTCATGGATTGATTTTAAAGATTAAAAGTAAATATTTTGGATCATAGGTCAGAAACATTGAAGCATGTGAAAAGGACTCTGTAATATTGGGTTTAGTAATCTAGTCATTCATGAACTCTCAATCAGGGACACTGAAATATTTATGCATTGGATTTTTTGCTATTATTTATAAACATGTTACCACATCTGCAACTTTATGAAACTTGACAGGATCCACAATATATGTTAACTGTGAAAACAAAAGATAAGATCTTTATTATATTTTTACATGTATATGGTATATTATATCTGCAGCTTATTCTACTGTTGACAGTATTTATTAAAGTGTCTTTATTTATTTGCTATCTTTATATGCCAATACAAATTGTCAGTTGTAAAAACCAAAGAACTGAATCTTTTTTGAAGTGGTTGCTGACCTTAGTTCATGGATTGTGAACTTCAAGGGATAAAGGCAATTATGAAAATGCTTATTATAAAGTCAAATAATATGCAAGTCAGGTCAAAGGGTGCTTTGTGTGCGTGGCTATGTATTTTCACATTGCTTCAGCATACCATGAATGCAGATGCTATGGAAAAGCATGTTAAACACCACATTGATACCAAGTATCACAGTGCCAAGATACATAGTTGGGCAGTCAAATTACAAGACAGTGAGCACTTTTACTACTATTCTAGTCGGTGTGAACACATCAAAAACATTGCCAATTCAGTATCCAGAGCTATTGCTGATAGGTTAAATGGTGGGTTGTTATCTAATTCTAAGATTAGGGCTTCCGTTGTGTTTTATCCAATGGAATATTTACAACATTTTGATATTTATATGTTGGAACTCAGGTTAAACAACATTCCAGTCTCTAATGTGAAGGAAACAGGTGCTTCTGATGCAGAAACCAAGCCAAGTTTAGGAAAAGTATCCAGGTCTCAAAATGCCAAAGTCAGTCAATTCGATTCAAGTCAAAAGCCACTTAAAAAAGAGACTTTTTTGTACCCCAAATCTGTGATAAAATTGACCAAACATGATAGTCAAGGTGTGTTTCCAGAAAGTAGCCAAAAATCTTATATTGAAAACACTTTTCTGTTCTTACATTCCAAGACATTCAAGAAACAAACAATGGATATGGATTCTAAGTCTCACAAATACCAGTTAATTGGTGATAATATAAGAACTGAAAACGAAGACATTTTGAGCAAACCTGGAAGCAGAGAAGATTTGTACTTGAATTCTTCAACATATTTGAGAGAAGTTATACAAACTGTTCACCATATAATGGATGTCTCTCCAGAAGTATTATGGTACAGTCAGCAGGTTATTCGACCTAGAGTGAAACGCGGTTGGAACTTCAAGGACCCTGCCTATCCCAGACAGTGGCATCTGGTATGTGAACTATATATCTACTAAGAGTGCATTGAGAACAGGTGAACTGCAGACTAACTGATCCGCTGTCTAAATATGGCTAACATCACTTCAAAACCGTTGCTGCAAATCCCTGATGGTCTCCCCGCCTCCACAGTGCCATTAAATGGATTAAATGTCGGTTTCAAGATTTAATTGCTTGGCCCCTGCAGCGATGGTGTGTGTGGAGGCGGGGAGACTACTAGGAATTAGCTGCATCGCTTTTGAAGTGGGGTTGGCCACATTCAGTCAGCGGATCAGTTAGTCCATAGGTCATCTGTTCTGAGTGCACATTAAGTAAAAGCTTTCTACATGTGTGCAATTACATGCCCACACACACAGACAAATACAGTGAACAGAGTTCTTGGCTGTTGTTGTCCAAAATTACCGTGTATGCACATATATAGTGTGATACGTTAAGAACCAACATGTAAACACAAATGTTTTACTTGCTGTAATCACACAAGTTGTATAATATTTTATGTGTTTATAATGCCCACAACATGTGTAACTTGCTCAGTTTTGTTTTGGTACTGGTTTTTGAAGAGCCTTTGTCTTGGGTCCAAATTTTCTTAGGAAATGCAGGCCTTGCCTTTTACAACTATATTGTGTGTGTTTACTGTTGCTTGAGTCATTTGAGCTCTCTAAGTGTGTTAAATAATAGATAATGCATACATTTATCAATCTTTTAACTGTTCTGCAGTGCCATTTGCGTACATATAATTGTCTGAACATGTTTGCCTTCTCTATTCCTAGCACAATGAGGTTAACCCCCAGATGGACATCAATGTCCAGGAGGTGTGGTCCAGGAACATCTCTGGACGAGGAGTGACAGTCGTGGTGGTTGATGATGGTAAGGTCAAGGTCATCTTGTGGTTACCAAGAGCTTTAAACCAGATATGTGCTAATACTTATTTAAAGGCACTCTGCTCCCATTTGAAAGTTTTCCCACAGGCATATTTATTGTGCAAAGCAGGGATTGATTTAAATTGTGAGTAGTAGAAAATTGCTCCCCCCTCCCAAAAAGAAAACTATTTTAGCTGGTAAATCCTTTATAGAGTGCCATTAAAATATTTATGTATGCTTTGTTTAATTGCTGGACCATACCCGTCTACTCTCTACCCTAAAAAACATTCATATGATAAAATATCTGTTTGAAATATATGTTTATCTGTTTACCCACCTTTACTCAGAGGATAGTTGAATATACCTTTATCAGATTTTAATAAGATTTTATATACTTGTACTTCACGAAGATGACATTGGGATTAAATAATTTGGTTACTGATGTTAATGTTCCATATCCACAATTAAAAATATTCATAAAATGGATGAAAAGATTTGAATTTTGCAATCTTTACTTCATATTTGTATGTTTATGTATATATTCTTTGGAGGGAAATTGTTTAGGGAGGGGGTTGGGTTGTCTAGGGGAAGGGGTTGTTGGGGGGGGGGGGGTTGTTCTAGAATCCCAGGGTATTACATACAATCAAGTAATTGCTCAGACAATGAACTGTGAGCATATCAGGTTAGAAACAATCATTGTTGTAAATGTAGGTTCTCATTTAATGAGAACCCTTTAAAATGTTCCTAGATTAATTCAGAAATTGACTCTCTCTCTGAGAACTGATTTGAACAGAGCTTGAAGATATATATACGTATTATAAAACAGGTGACAGATGCTATATTGTTTTGAATATATCATAAAATATACATGATATCTATAAAATGATTAATTAGAAAAATTTGGGGTAAGGCCAAAGGAGGTTGTGACTTGGAAAATAAATGTGAAAGCACTCCTACTGTTATGTATGATATTTGTACAATTGTTGTTGTAGGTCTAGAGTGGACAAACCCAGACATTCAAGACAATTACAGTCCTCAAGGAAGTTGGGATCTGAATTCTCATGACAGTGATCCTATGCCTGCAATTAATAAAGGTAACTTCCTGCTTACCAATATTTCACTAAAGGGTTAAATACTATGACCCAAGATGTAATTTGTCCCAAAATAGATAAAAAAATAGTCAAGTTAAATTAGAACACTGCACTTAAATGTCAGAAAGTGCCTTTTACTTTATTGCCTTGCATTTTAACTGCTACTGGAATAGTATCATTAAAAGAAGTTATTTTGTGTATAAGGCTCTAGTTGATTTTCCTCCAGATAAAAATCATCATGGCACACGCTGTGCAGGGGAGATAGGGGCAGTTGCTAACTCCGTATGTGCAGTGGGAGTGGCATTTCAAGCCAAGGTTGCTGGTGAGTGAAACAATTAAACCTGAAGTTTCATAGACTAGGTTCCCATGCCTAGATAATCCATCTGGATCGGTCTAACTCCCTGGGGAGTCTCACTAAATTGCTATCAACTTAACCAGCTTAAATGTCTGTCACGCCTACCGAATCAGCTAGGGGGCAAAGATAATTACCCCTTAACAGCTTTACTAGGCGTGACAGAAATTTAAGCCGGGTAAGTTAGTGAAACTCCCCAGGGAGATAGATCGATCTAAATATCTGTGGGAATAGTCCCATATAGTTAAAGTGACTCTCCACACATTTGAAAATCCTCTGCCGTCATATTTATATCCTGCAAAACTTCTTGTATTTCTCTATTCAGACAGTAAAGATAATACATGCTAAACCCTTTGAATAAATGTTTATATGAAGCATACCTGATGTTGTAGTTACATGCATTTTCCCAGGATCTATGTAAGCTTGCGTACAGAAATTGCACTTTACCTCGGGAAAATTCATTTTGGCAGGTAGATTCTGTAGAAAATCACTTTAACCTTTAGTAAGAGAGCTTATACAATTGAAATTATGTGCCCTGTAGTTTGAGCATCAGTCCCATCAAATGTCCACAATTATAGTAGTCTGTAGTACATTATGACAATTTGCTATTTATCATGATGTTATTTTGAAGAACTATACTTTGTGCACTGGCACTGTTAATGTGCACTAGTTAAGGAAACTCTGTAACTCAAAATCCCTTTTTGGGAATTTCAAAGTGTGTTCCTGTTTGTTTATTTGCATGATTTTATATGACTGTCTATTAGCACTTTCTGGCTCACAGTTCGGGAGGTATTGTTCTGATTCTTTTTGTGAGATACTGTACTTTATGCGGACCTGACCACCAAATTTTGGTGATGGCACAGATTACCACTTGTACCTATTTATACCAGTAAAATGCAGTAAATGGCAAGCCCTGTGCAGCATGCACCATGACCTCAGCTCTTGACCTTTTTTAATGCTAATGGTACATGTTTTGAAGTACTGGATTAGTACCTGGGTGCCACAGCTCAACAGGTAGCATATAGCATCTTTGTGTGCAGGTGTTTTGAGTTCTACTAGCACGAGAGTTTTTTGTCATTTTTGATGATTATTAAGAGCAAAACCTTTTCTTGATTCTATTTCTATGATTTGATTAATAAAAAAATTAATATTTGAATTTATAGTTAATTTTTGAAAAGCAGCACTTAGAACTATGGAATTCTTTCTTTCAGAACATTAAGAATGAAAAGGTATAAGTTAAGTTCTCTTTTTACTACCAGATTTTACAGAAAGTTATGATATAGCAACCAATCCAAATTTTTACTGAGTGCCATAAATTAAGACTGAAAGATTCTAAAACACTTTTATCCCATTTTCTTTAACTAGCTTTTAGAGGTCTGTGTTTATTTTGAACTTAATATGATCTTAATATTAATCTTCTGTTTTCAATTTTTATTTGAACTCATATTTGTTAACAACTTCAACCTTTTGGTTGCTATGATTTTAAATAAACTAATCATTGTTATTATATTAATTATTATTATATCTATTTTTTGCAATATGTTTTTATATATGTTAAAAATATTGTTATGTAGCCCACAAGTTTTTGGGCTATTGAGCAATTTTATTCTCTGATTGGTAGGTGTGGTCCACGAACTTAAATAGTGCTCAAGTTTTTCACAAATTGGCAAATAGCTGTGGTTTAAAGTCCAGTGCTTACTACATTTTCTAAATGTCTACAGTAATTAATGTGAGTAGATTATTAAAAACTGATCATGATGATTAAAAATGTTGGTCATGCTGCTATAAAGCATTAGTTTACATCTATTGCATCTGCATTGACACAAAACATTCCGTGCACTTTTGTTAGACTGTTTCATCATTTTTAGAAGTTTTCATCTCAGTGCTTCCATCACATGTGTTATTTATGTCTGCTGCCTAGTTGATATTTTAGCCTTAAATTTAGCAAAATGTGATTAATATTTATAAGTGATTCAAATATAGATATACAAGTTCAATTTAAATTTTCATCTTTTTCTCTGTCATGTCTTCAAATTATTTTATGAAGAAAAAGATGGTGGTGCCTCTGATCCTATAGATAAAGTGTTTTAGATATATAAAAGACTGATTATGGCATTGATATTACAAGAAAAATATGTAAATATTATATTAAATAACAGTCTGTATTTAAAGTGCATAGTATTATCTTCTACATGTCACAACACAGTAATTGTTTCAGGTATCAGAGTATTGGATGGTCCCATGACAGACAGCTTAGAAGCAACAGCATTCAACAAGAACATGGAAGTCAATGACATCTACAGTTGCAGGTGAGCAGACCTTTTTTTATTATGTAGTTCATGGAGTTTTATTGCCATAAAATTTCCTATTTTTTATATTGGCTTTAGTGTTGCAAGATTTGTGTGATTGTGCTTTGATTGATGGAATCCTCCTGAAAATTACATTAATTTTTCTTGAATCACACACACACATGTAAAGCCTCTCTTCTGGTCCTCAAATCAAGTTCGGTCCCTTGGTTCTAAACTGTTTACCAGAGGCTCTGTTATGGTCCTACACCTGTTGATGTCCATCATGACGTGTTCTAACGTGTTCCCCAAACGTGTCCTTGGCTGACTCTCTTTTGGGCCCCAAACTTTTTCTGCGGTATAGTCTTCATTTGGAAACCTGCCAGTATGACGTTCGGGGGAGGGGAGGGGATTAATTACTTGCACTTAAGCAACTCAACTAACGGTCATTTGGTTGATTCGCGAGATCAACGGACTACCTGGCTATTATTTCACAGCATAAATGGAAAGATATAAATTGCAGAGTAACCTTGTGTCGCAAGGATACTACTTATAGTTATTTATTCCCTTCATGCTCCCTCTTCC